ATCTTTAAATCGCAATAATTTGATTTTGTACAATTCAAACTAGTTCGAATTTCATTTAATATACCTGAATTAATTCGTATTTTTTAATTAATGTATTTATTTTATTCTAGTTTTATAGCTAATTTATTTTTTCGAGTTTCGAATTATTGCGAATTATTTCGAAATATTGTGGAATTTTTTTCATAATATAGCATAATATATTTCATGATATTCCGTAATTAAAAATTGCGAAATATTCCGCGTCAATCGTAATTATTGCGGAATTTTTCGGTCTGTAATAATTTACGTAAGATTATGTTTATATAATTTGCTAATGTAAATAACAAATTATCAAAAATGCTAAAAAAACTAAAATGCTTTAAGTGAGAAAAAAATATTTATCAAAAAAGCATCCACATGTCTCACAACAGAGTTGTCATTGCATTTGATACTTAAACTCTTGGGATTTAAAAGAATATTACATATTGAAAGTATAAAGGCGTAATGTATTGTAGAAAGTTCTTCATCTTTATAGTATTTAAAAACAATGTATCCAATCTTTAAAAGAAGTTGTTGATCTTTAAAGAGATCTTCATAGACAGCCTTAGTCTTCGCACTTGTTTTTCATTCTGCGAGTTTTGTCAAAGGTATATTACAATTAATATAATCTAGACGTTCTTTACTAAAAACAGTAAACAAAGCATATCTAATAGCTATCTCTATATCATTTCGTTTGCTACGATATTTGGCTTTAACCTAAAGACGAAAAAAAATTTTTAAAAAACAATTTTATAATAAAGAAGGGTCAGGTATTCTGATGCATCTAAGAGTGCTAATAGTAAAAGCTCTCACGAAAATATATAATTCCTAAAATTTATTGAAATAAACTAGTATTTGACTTAATATCTATTAATTACAAAAAAAAATTTTAATTTTTTTTTAAAAAACTCGATACGTAGTCAACTTCTAAAAGTTATTTAAAAACTGTTATATTTTTTCTTAACCAGAGATATTTTGGCACACTATGTATATCAATATGCTAAGTATGTACAGATAACTCTTTTTAGATTGTACTTTGCTAATCTTTTTTTTCGAATTGGCCCAGATAGGAAAAGAAAAAAATAACGTAAGAATTACATAATAATGTCTGCCTTTTTTCAAGTCATGATCAGAATTGATATTATTTGATTCGTCTCAGTAAAACTAATCAAATGGTACTAAAAATGGTTGATTCTGATCAGTGTATTGCAAGATGTTATAAAAAATATAAGTGTACCAAATATCCCTTGTGCCAGAATACCCAACCCTCCCTTAGATTCTGTAAAATTTGAAGAATATAAGGTGTAATATACTTCAGGCAAAATCTTAGTTTCAAACATTGAAGTCCAAACATTTCTCAAAATACTGTCTATAAAGTATTCAGCATGCTCAGAAAAATACTTTTCCAATTCTATACAATATTCATGGGTTGAGGAAAATAAGATCTTAGGAATAAGTTGTTTTGCTACTTCTTTATAGGCTTGCTATAAAAAAATTATTATATACAGATTAAAACTTAAATTTTTATTAAGATTTATAAAATAAAAATTGATACAAATATGAACTCAATTACTAGATAATAACAATGATTTAAAAATATTGTTAATAATGTAAACTTTCTTCACACAAAAAAAAAAAAATTACATTCCAAAATTCATCAGTAAGTTTGTCAAATGTAATAAGTTTTTGTAAATCTTTAGAGAATTGTTGCTGCTGATCTCCAAGAAATCGGCAAACTTTGTAAAGAGTGTTTAATTTTGAATCCAAAATAGTTATGGTATATTTAAAGTCGTCAATTGTGAGGAGATTATTTTCGTTCATATCAGAATGTTGTAATTAGCTTCTTTGCCTTTTTGTCATAGCACCATTATCAGAATAATTGTTATTCTCGTTAGAAAAATCATTGTTTCCGAATGCTGAAGATTGTCTTTTTTGCAAATTAACAGAAGCCAAAAATAGATTATTTTTTTTTGATTGTGGCAACTCATCAAAAAGCCCATCATAGTTTTCAACATATCCAGGGTTTTCTTTCTCTTGATGATCTTGTAACAGACCAGAAAACTCAATATATACTCAATGAAAGTTGGGCTAATTCAGGGTATCTTTGTTAACAGATAACATATTCGCTTTATCACTTGAAATTAAACCAACTAGATTGGTTGAGGCTGTTAGGGCTGTTGAAGTTGAGGCTGTTAGGGTTGTTGAAGATGAGGTATAATTTTTTTATTCAAAAAGAAAAATTCATATACATCAAATTTTCAAAGAAATTATTACTAACTTTGAGATATCATTATAGCAAACTTGTTTTGGGTAGCACAGGTTGCAGTATCACACAATTGCTTAGTTGCATTTTCATTTTCTCCAGTATTCTGTTTCTTCTGAAGCTTTTTTACAGGCTTTCTTGTTCCTCTTTCTGATGATATAGCAATAAAAAAAAACTACAATTGAAAAAAACTTGTTAAGAAAATTTGTTATCTAAGAAAAAAAAAATTTGTACCACAATAAAGTGAAAAATACCTTTATATATCAAAAAAAAAAAAATTTCAAAAAATTTTTTTTTTCAAAAAAAAAACTAGTAAAACCTTTAATTCCACAATAATAATTAATTCTAGAATGTTATCACAGAAAATTTATAACATAAATTTATAATAAGTATATTATTCAATTTAATTAATCGTAAAGTTCAAAAGAAAAAATTTCTATTTTTTTTTTTAATAAAAAAGAAAATCACCAAAATCTTATTTTATACATAATAAGTTTTTAGTATTTGTAGATTCTAGGAGAATAGAGTTTAAAACCAGTTTTTATATATGAGTGCGTAAGAATGAAAATCTGAAAACCGATCATAGTAAATCATTAAATCGGTTTCTATATTTTCACTCTCATGTATTTATATTAAAATAAAACTGGTTCAAACTTTACCAGAGTATTCCCTCTAGCAGTTGGACAAAAAACTGTATCACATTTGGTTTTGGCCAATTAACTTTGAAAACAATTAGACATAATAATCTTCCTAATACTACCTCCTAGTATCACTACCAAAATCAGTTATTACAAATATTCTAAGTTCAAATTATATTCAACTCGAATATATAAAATGCATTTACATCCAAGTTCAAATTTTATTTAATACACTTTAAATTTAATTTAATACTACAGTAAAAGGTGTTTTATTACATTATTCAGGTTTTTGAAAGCTTTTTGCTCATTTAAAATCTTTAATAATCTACTATTGGATAGGTTTTAAGTTCGATTTAATACTTCAAAGCCTTGAAAAAATTATTAGGCTTCAAAGTTTTTCTGTACTTTTTAAAAATTTTAGATTCAGATTCACTATCTTTAGTATTCAATTTCTAATTATCTATATTTTGGTTTTCTGAACTTACCAGATCGATCATTAAGTTAACTTGTGTGCAATCAATGTTTGAATATTTTTATATAAAGTTTCTTTAGCTTCTATAATTAAAAGATATTGAGAATTTCGTTGTGCCCAAATTAATATAGATTTAGAAATTTTTAAGCTATGATATAATGACAAACTTTTGAAAAATTCATTAACAAGATATTTGCACAATAAGAACCTGTTTTTAAAAAAAATAAAAACAAGAACATGTTCAATTTAATCTATTGTGTGGTTAATTTACTCTACTCAGTTTTAAATTCTTTACGTTGTTAAACTGAAAAATATATATTACGTCATCTATTTTCAAGGACGCATGTCTGAAATCTGTGACATGTTATGTTAATTATCAAATCGAAAGAGCATAAAAATTAGAATTAAGTGCAAGCTTTAATTTACTTGATATTTGATATTTAAATGTATTTATATAACTAAAATTTCATTTTAAAAACTTCTGTTTAGAAGTTAAACTGTGGTTATCATAGTAAAGTCTTGAGTTATTTACAATTTTTCTGTTTTCTCAAAGTATTTTCGAATTTTTTAAGTTACACATAATCTTGTGATTTTATTGGCTACAACCAGCAATGGTTAACATAACTTGTCACAGATTTTAGACATGCTTCAAGGACATCCATGTCTATAAAACTTAGAGCTTTGATCCTAATTTTCAAATACTATTCGAATCAAATTCAGATTCATTATAATATACTCGATTAAAATTCAAATAGAGACAGTCTGGATTCAATTCAGATTAAAAATAAAAACTGCATCTTAAATTTCGAAATCTCAATTTTTTTACTGCTGCTATGCAATATAATAATTTTGGCGATTATAATTACTTGTAGGCTTTGTGTGATTAATTTTGTATAACCACATATATTTCGTATATTAATTGTTTATTCACAATAACTATTAGCATAATTTAATTACGATTCTATCTTTTTAACTTGAAATCGTATATTTTTTAATGATCATGTGAGTGAAATAATAAAACAAATCAATCTTTAGTAATTCTTCTTTAAATACATACAAAAATTTTTTCAAAGATGCACGATGTTTGAGGGGTAAAGAGGGTAAAAGGCACATGAGAGCC